ACGTGTATTAGAGTGGTCGCATAGTGTACGCGATGTCAAAGTTCGCAGCAACCTCGGCTGCTTTACTGCTGCTCTGTGTGGCATTGGTGTCTGCAGGTACGTGTTTGGGTAATGGGTGGGAGAATAGTTTTTTCTCTTCATTTAAAATTAAGCACCAAGTGTTAATGTGATTAGAAAAATAATTTTATCCTCAAATAGAGTTTAAAGTAAATCTTTTTTAATAAATCGAAAATCATTCTATTTAAATAATGCAATTCTCTCGAGACGTAGAACAGGGGGAAGAACAAAGAAATATATAGCTTACATATATAAATCCAGCGATAGTTGAATCCATCTCTTTCTACAGTATCACTGTTTGGGGGCTAGCACTAGATAAAACCAATTTTAGGCGCACAATCAATAAGGCTTTGTGACCGAAAGCTGTCCTTATAGAAGGACTTCCACAAGTGCACTAAACTCTTCTCTAAATGTCCTCATATAGGGTAGAAACTAGACCCGGATAATATTTTCCATACAAATTCTCTTTTTTGATTATCTTTTTACCGCAAGGATTTCAGAGTAGAACGAATGGGAGAGTTTTAAATGTTCAAGATAAAAAAGAATTAAGAATCTTTACAGATGATGTACGCGTTTGGTGGCCGATAACAGATTAAATCAAATGGTGTGTAGTGACCTACAGTTGTCCTTATGAAGGAAATTCTTCCATCGACTTCCATAAGGAAACTTTCTTCCACAAAACCTCGATCGCCATGTTTCTGTTTTGATAATCCCTTTTCAAAGTTTGAATGATCTAGATTGAGCAGCAGTATCCGTCTTTATTGGCGGCTCAAAACTCAATGGATTAATTGCGGAACCCTCTAACAGTCACGAACCAGACTTTAACACAAAATTACGGCGCTCTTGCAGCCTCAAAGCCTTTAAACAGAGCCTAAAAAGACTTTCGCGAGAATTTAGCACCTCCGTGGTCTGAATATCTGAATATCATTATATAATTCATTAGACTGAAGACTGTAGACAGGCCCATCTTCGAGATTAAATAAACAAATAAAATTTACAATATTCGAAAAATAAAAAAGTATGGAAAGAACTAACTCAGAAAATATTTGTTCTTAATTTTCACATTATCAACCAATTTAAAAAAAATCAAAATCTTATTTACCCATTCCCAGAACCCCGCCAAGTACCTCAACAAGTAGAGCAAAAGCATCTACGTACCGCTGCGGCCGTCGACACACCAAATCATCCCTACCTCTTCCTTACCGTGCCACGCAACAACGGTAATGGCCACGATGTGCAGGGTTTCAAGGTAGTAGAAATCGATGATGATGACGATGATCAGGCAACAGCTACTGTTAATAAAATGAAAATCCAAAACAACGATGATAATGAAGAGGACGACGATGATGATGTTAGTAAGAACAATGCAGTCAACGACGATGATGATGATGATGACGAAGAGGAGCAAGTGGTGCACAATGGTAATGTTGAAGTTAACGACGACGACGACGATGACTTTGAATACAATGACGATGACGGTGAAGAGGATGACCATGATGAGCATGATCTTAGCAATAATTTGGTATATCTACGTTCACGTGCACCACACACCCCACGCGTACGCAGTCAGGCGACTAAGAATCAAGGTACGGTTATCAGTGCAGATGGCAACCGTGTTGGACAATTGAATGCACAACTCGTGTTGAAGAATGCTAAACCCACCAATATGATGGTTTCACGTGAACACGCTGGTGCTATTATGATACCCGATGGTGTTATCGAAATCGAAGGACAGAGTGTGGTGGATGAGAAAACCGGCAAGACTGCATTGTTGGTACCACGTGCAGCGCTCGATGCCATACCCGATGGCAGTGTTGTTGCGCTGATGGAAAGTCCAGAAAGTGAATCTGAGGAGGCGCGTGCCAATCGGGTTTTCGTGCGTCGTCGTCGAAAGGGTTCACGTCGCAACGTCGTACGTCGCGGTGGTGGCAAACGTCGTCGCGGTGGAGGCAATCGCCGTCGTCGTCGTGGCAGTAAACGCAAGAACGTACGTGTCTATCAGGTGGGAGGTGGCTCAAATCGCCGTCGTGTTAACCGTCGTGGTCGACGTCCTGTTGTGTTGCAGGGCTAAGGGAGAGCATTCCACGCTACAGCGACTCAGATAACTTAGTATTATAGATTATAGAACAGTTGAGGACTACCGCATGTGAAACGATATTACATTGATAAATAAAAGAATTATGTTTAAAAATGCTGGTTTTCTTTAATAAATAAACGGCGATAACGGAGTGTGCAGGAGCTCATAAGAATTAAAATGAAATTAAGAAAAACTGTATATTGAAAAATAAATAAAATAAATAAATTACCAAAATGAAAGTTAAAAAAGATAAATTGAATAAAATTAAAATCACAAAAAAATTAGAATAAAGTAAATTGAAACTGTAAAATAAACTAAATTACAATAAAAGAAAATAAAATAATGAAATCAAATATTAAAACACAGCAAAATAAAACACAATAAAAACTGTGAAATTAAGAAATGTAAAACTAGTGTAAAATAAAATAAATAATAAAGTAAAATAATAAAATGAAATAAAATAAATTAAAATAAAATAAAGTAAAACAAAATAAAATAATAAATTATTAATTAAAAAATCAAAGATATATAATATAATATAAATATTATATTATAAAATGAAATAAAATTAAATAAAAAATAATAACCAAAATAAAATAAAAAATAACGATAAATAATAAAATTAAATAACATAAAATAAAATAAAGTGAAAGAAAGCACAATCAAATAAAATAAATAAATTAAAATAAAATCAAATTAAGTAAAATATATAAAATAAAATAAAATAAATTAAAACTCATTAAGGAAATTAAAGAAATATAAAATAATATAAAATATAATAAATAAACTGTTATATAATAAAATTAATAAAAATAAAATCAATTAAAATAAAATACATACAATGAATTAAATTCAATAAGCTAAATTGAAATAAACTAACATAAACTAAAATAAAGGTAAACAAACCAAAATTATATAAATTTAAATAAAAAGACAAAACAAAGAAAAAAAAAAAATAAACTAAGACAGAACAATAAATTAAAATAAGAGAGCGAGATTGAAAATTTATTTAAATAAAATTATGTAAGAAACTAAAAAAAAACTAAATTAAAAAAAATTATACAAAGTTATATTAAAAAATAAACAAATTATTATATTAAAATAGAAAATAAGTGAGATAAATTAAAAATTATTACAAATTAAACTATATAAAACCAATAATTTTTTTTTTAATTTCAAAATAAAAAATATTTAAGTTGAAAATAAAATTAAGAAAAAATAAATTTGAAACCAAATTTGAATAAGTTTATTAAAAGTTAATTATACTACATTAACTAAATTGAAGAAACAGAAAAATTTCAATAATATTATTTTTCTCTTTTATCAGTCCATCGATGACGAGCGAAAGCTACATAATTTACGAACCACCAATACATATATAAATTTTAATATTGCCAACGCTATTAATCAAGATCGCTTTTTCTATCTATTGTCTATCATATTTATAATTTTTATGCATCATCTCCTTTCTTCTACAATATTATAAATGGCTCATCTTTTAATGTTTTGCTGAATTTCACCGCCAGCGATCAAAAATTTCACGTTGAATGAAAGCTGTGCTTTTCTCCTCATTAGTTTATCGGTAACGACTAAATACATATGTAGATATTTAAGTAAGTAAGCGAATAACTTTCGCAGCGCGTGGCTACCAAGCTAGTCGCGGCAACATGGCAGAAATTATTCTTCAAACTTCAAACTTTACATGTATGAAATCTATACTTTTACAAATGGCGATATAAGAGCGTAAGCAGTGCGTCTGCTAATCACATAACGTCTCGACAACTAAACGTGTGCTGAAGTCCAGAAATTATTATTATTGATTTAAACCACGAACACGCTTTGGCCATGTCCAGATTGTATGGGTTTTTGGCGCTCTTATGCGTCGTAGCGTTACTAAGCAGCGTGCGTGCCGGTATGTAACTCGTAATTAAAGGGGAAAAAGAACCAAAAATAAAAATATTTAACTTTATTTCTCATTCGTTCTGCACGAAATTCTTAGAAGAACTCTCACCTGCAGAAGCGATCGTTGAAGCGAGAAACAATGACGCTCCAGCAGTGCTATCGCAACCAGAAAGTGACAAAGTCCTCGTTGACTCATTGCCTGCGAAATCTGACTTGTCCGAATCGCCCGCCATCATCCCCGTAGAGGTTGATGAAAAGAACGATGAAGAGCAAAGTTTGCCGGCTGGCGAAGAATCGATGAAGGAGCAAGAAAATGTGGCTGCTGATGCTGAGGATAGTAAAAAAGAAAGTCTTGAGCTCGCCATGAATGCCGATATACTAAAGCAACCAGAAATGGTAAGCGCACTAATATACTACAGAACTTTTTCACAATTGACACTATCTATTTACATACATATATTAAATACTAGTTACCATTAATATTTTAGGCCCGTCTTGCCCGTCACATGAGGAGCTTCCATAACTATCAGGTATATCGCGCACAAAAAGCCAATGGCGCTCGGCGATCAACCAACGATATTGACGATATGGCGGAAGACGATGACCTAGTGCCCGAAGAACGTGCTATACGTCGTCGCAAGCGTGTATTTAAACGCAAAGCCAACAACAATGTACGTCGTGTACATCGCCGAAAGAATATTGCCAATCGTCAGAACAGTGCGCGTCGTCAAAATCAACGTCTGCAGTCGGTGCGTAGACCGAATTCGAAGAATTCAGCAAAAAAACGACGTCGTACCAACAGTAGCAATAGCTATCGTCGTGGTGGCAGCGATAAGAAGCAACATAAGACACGTTCTGGTTCCAAACGTCGTTCAACATCGAAAAATAGTTCACGTAAGACCAAGAGAAAGTCTTCGTTGAAGAAGCGCTCCAAGAATGGCAACAATAGAAATCGTAAACATACCGCATATGAAGACGATGAGGAGGCAGCACAAATTCAAGCTGTTAGCGCACCGCAGATGATCGTCATTGTCGATGGTGATAAGGCTGAAACTGCATATGTTGCACAGGCTGCTTGAAGCTGATTAGTGCCCAATTTATTTATTTAAAAATGTATTTTTTAAGTATTGAAAGCGATAAATTTAAACTATTTATTTTTGATTTAATAAATTTTACATCTAAGCAATGAAGCAATGTAGCAGTGTTTTATATGTATATATGTATATAATTTTGTTAGCAAAAATAACCGATTATAAAAAGTTTTGCTTTGTAGCCGCTGAAGCTTTGTACGGCCGAGCTGCTCTTCCTATTCGTGGTGCACATCTCAATGTTTTCCCAACAAATTAAAGGATCTACAGTTTATTCTAAGCCGCCTTGAACGCTTTTATTTAATGTCAGAAATACAGTCAGAGGGCTTCACATTCCCTACCGTGGGCGACCGCGACAGAGCAATTTTTTTATTATTTGGTGTGTTGGTCAGACCATGCCTCGAGCCCTGGCCTGCAAATTAGGGCCAAATATAAAACCAATACTTGTCTCCCACATTTTTACTTATTTTATAATGATTGTCAATATTTAATTACAATTTAAAATGTAATTATTCCAGAATTTAACAAAATAACAGTTAATTGATGACCGTAAATTTTTTAAATATTTTAATAGAAACTGCAGAAACTGACATTAAAAAGCTCCAAATCAGTTTTAGTTATGTTGAACCACGAGACACTACTCTACAGTAAATTTAATCAGTTAAAACCCCTGAACCACCAAAAAGTCTGGTATTGGTATTGGGCAGTAAGCGCATTTAGTCAGCGATTTGAAATGGATTTTATCTGACAGCCTCGTGATCCGAAATTCAGTTAAAATTATATTACTTAATTGTAAAATAATTATTATTGTCCAAAAAAAATTATTTTCAAATAAGCATTTAATTATAGATTAGGTTATGTTTAACTGAATGACTACAGCGAATCTCACTTGGACAATACCACGTTTACAGAGTTAGCAGATACGACCAAAGCTGTATTGGTATAGTTTGATGTTTTCTTACCAATTGCTGTTTAAAGAATCTGGAGCTATTATTACGTACTTCTCTATGTACTCTCTACTTCCCTCAGTTTGTCGTCATAGTCACCGCTTACGTGATTATAGCCGAACCAACAGTAGTGAATTATACGTTCCTTTTTTCACTGTCGCCTTCCACCTAATCCTTCCAACGGAGTCGAAGTCTTCCTCTTTCAATGCTGTAGTGCTTTCATTCATTCTGATGACTTAGCGATCGTAGCCGCAGCCTCTTTATTCGCTGAACTATGTACGCATGGTTATAGTCCTTTCAGTCCTCTTAGTCGTGCCCAGGTGTTTCGATGGTACAAAGAGTTTAAGGAGGGACGTGAAAGCGTGGAAGAGGAATAATCAGGGCGCGCTCAGACTTCATAGCGACAACGCGCCGAGCCACACCGCCCTCAGCGTGTCGGAGTATTTGGCCTCTAAAAAGGATCGCCGTATTGAATCAACCGCCTTATTCGCTCGATATGTCACCCTGTGACTTTTTTTGTTCCCTAGAACAAAACCGGTGGTAAAAAGGAATCCATTTTGAGTCTATTGAGGACACCCAGACGGTCGTGCCGAGGGTACTCGCTGACATCCTAGTCGAAACGTGCCAGAAATTTTACGATGCATGGAAAACGCGCTGGAATCGTTGTACAGCTACCCAAGGGAACTAATTTGAAGGAGATGGCAGTGTTGTAAAATAGTTTTGAAATATACGATTCTTATGGAATCAGTCTCATTACTTAATTGTCACACCTCGTTAATCTTACCGTATAACATCGTTCATTCGTCTGTGGTATTCGTCGTTTGCAAAAGTTTTCACTCGAAGTCTCCCAGGGCGGATTCAACAGATTCAACAGATATCGACATCGACCAGGCTTTTGCGGTGTGTAACAGGACGGAAATGTTGATGATGATCCTGATTTTCGATCGCCCACTAAATCCAAAGTAGCACTTGCTGGCAAGAGTGATTCTGCACAAGATTTCAAGGCTGGCATTATTGTTGGTGTTAATGGTGGTGATAATGCTGGTCTCTATATAGACACAGTTATCTACGGCCTAGAAGTTATGACAGTCAACAGTGACATTGGAGCCAAGCCGCAAATGTGCCCACTGTTCATTTGATGACATAAGATATTTGTTCCCGTTCACTACCTGTCCCATTTGCTTCGCTTTCTTTAATCACTGTAAAATATTTAGCCTTTTCTAGTTAGGTTTGGAGCTCTTATTATTCTCTTTTTCATTTTTCATCTTGTTGCTTTTCGGCATCGAACCAACCTTGTGTTTGCTAACGAGCGTTCTTTGATTCACAAAGGCTGGTGACCTTAGCCGATTTTCGGTTTTACGAACCCTCACACAACTAGAACACTGATATATGTCGTCTGTCTATCATAACTTGATCGATATGGTTATGAGTTTTTCGAGCTGGAAAGTAGCTCAATGAACTTTCTTGTGCTATAATCAAATATTACAGACAACCACCCTGGCGTTAAAGTGGCCACAGCATAATATTTAGATAGTAGCGGGAGCAGCGCTAATGAGTATATACCAGGCACTCATAAAAGGCATCCTTGGTTACATCGTCCCTCTCTTGAGTCGGGCCATGTCTAGAAATTTACTTTTGTTGTGGATTATGGCAAGATATTTATCCGCCGGGGTGAATGCCAGTACTCGGCGGCGGAATCTCTTTCCCACAACAAATCCAACACCAAATTTGTGCTCCGTTCTGAGGCCGTTGTAGTAAATGTCCTAAGTGTTGCATTCAAGTCTTTGCTTTAATTGTCATTGCAGTAGGCTTTTCATGTGGTGGACCATGAGCCCTACGAACCAAGCATGGGAGTCACCTTTCCACTTTAGCTCGTCTCAAAGCGGATGTTTGTTGGGTACCCAAAAAACGAATAATTGGGCTAAGATCGTAGGTCATGAGCTGCTTGAACCATCTGTATAAGATTAGCTTCTGTTCACTCCCAGGGGAATGACAACACTTTCAAACCTCTCTTGCGTTAACTTCTCCACATGGCATCATCCTCCATTCCGTAAGTATATCGGAGCGTATTCGCGTAGGTTGGAGTGTAAAATTCCTACAAAGTTCATAGGCTTTTGCGCCCAGAACTCTGTCTCACCCATAGCTACATAGCATAGCTGCTTTCGAGTAAAATTGTGTTTGGCTATGTATTCGCCAATTTATTATACAGCTCAGTGAGACTGCTTAAGCGAAGTGTAAGTTTTCGATGTAAGCATAATCGAAGCTTAAGGCACATAAACATATTACGCAGAAGAAATGGCAGGCAGTTGCTGGCTGACGGCAGAGCCCAGCTCCTTCTGTAATTTTTTTTTTACTTTCGCTAACATGAAAGCACTAATTTAGGTACGTTTGTATTTCTCGAGGCTATGACTTAGGTGCGGCCGCAACCTCCCCCCGTTTCAACCAGCCAAAACGTTTTGTAACCTTAATTATATATACAAAGAAATTTATTAAGGGTCAAATGTGCGTAAAAAAAATATTTGTGTAAACTGTAAAATCGCCGTTAGACAGACACACAGAATTTAGTGAAATTGAAAATATTGAAAAAAAGTGCTAATGTTGATGCTCAGCCAAGATGTAAGCTAATGAAATGATTAATTGGTTTTTGCAATTTTCGAAGTTCTTGTCCAATTGTTTATAAAGTAGCAGAGCCGCTTCAATTTTCGGCGATCGCACTTTGCCATTCATTTCTGATATAGAGCATAGGAATAGTTAGAGAAATTACATTTAATTACATGGCCTTGGGGTGTTTAGTGGAAATTCAAAATTACATATTTAATACTCATAATGAAGCATGGTTTGAGTACAATAAGGAATTTAGTTGGTTAATTTTACCGTTTTTGCTATATAAATTGCGATAGAATACTCCTAAAATCAGTACATTGCAGACGTTCAATCATCAAAGTTAGGAATCGAGCAGTAGGACAAACCGACAATATGCAACAATTTAAACTAGCCTTTGTGCTGGTCCTATGTCTGGCGCTGCAATCCATGGGTAAGTTGAGGATTTAATTTTTATTTTTTTAATTCATAATACTCTACCGAGCTGAATGTTCATCTCCTTTCAGTTGAGGCGAAACTGAGCTTCTCGCCTGGTAATAGACGACAAGCTGCAGCATCAGTGGGTCGTCATGAAAATGTCAAGGCTGAAGGCCGTTTTACTAGTCAATTCATAAATCAGTTGAATACGTTAAAAGGCGGTACGTCTTCAAGCACTTGCCCGCCTAGCACAACCACAATAACATATCCTCAGTATACCTCAACTCCGACTTCTACGAGTACATCACCTACCACCACGTCTCCAACATCTCCAACATCTACATCAACAAGTCCCACAGCCACTTCTACCTCGCCAGTAACCTCAACGAATACGTCAAGATCAGCGCCGCAATTTTTCAGAAATAGTTTCAATGATTTAGATGATGAGGACGATGATGATGATGATTTGTTTTTGGGCCAGAATTTTGCTAACAACTGGGTTAATAGCAACATAGATGACGGTGATGACGATGATGATAATAATGACTTGGCAAGTACCGATGAGCAGAATATGATCAATGGTCGCCGCCATAATGAATTGGGACGCGCTGCACGTGCAAATCCCAGCCAATGGCAATTGCAACAACTACGCCAGCGTAATCGTCGTCTAAGGCAACAACAAAGGAGGCGTACGCAAACACGTCGCAAGCAACAAATGCAACGTCGTCGTAACAGGCAACGTCAATCGAATCAGCGTCGTCGCCGCCAGCAGAAGGCCAAGAATGCGCGCAGACGCAGAGAAATGCGTCGACGAAATATGAGACGACAAAGAAAGGCAGCTGTACGTCATAGGACTGCAAATAATCGTCGTTTGAGACGCTTCATGCAGAACGGTAGCTCCAATCGTAGACGAATTGTACGCCTAAATGTTAAGTGAATTGGGAATGTGCTTTGGAATACAACTGCAGTAGCAAGCAATAATGGAATAAATTGATAGAATGAAGAAAATTATGAAAACATTTTTATTTGATTTATAATATTTTTTTGGTTTGGTGTATCGTTTATAGAAAACTCATCCTCGGCGTTAGCATCAAGTGAGGGTTGGAGCAGAGGAAATGTAGTCTTCTTTAACTGCTTCCAACCGTATTGAATACTATCAAAGCTGGAGTGTTTTTTAACCTTTGCCGTGTCACCGTATATCCGTTAAAATGTATTACCCAAGCGCTAAGCGCCGCTAAAGATGGTAAAAGATATTAAGCAAGCAGAACAAATAGCGCCACCTTTGAAGCCAAAGTTGTCAAAATGATTGGCCAGCACCAGCAGTTTTACGCCTCTTAAGGAGATTGCTCCTTGTCTATTTAGCTCTGCGGATATTACTTTTTCTTCCAGAGCTAAGTTGCAGAATCTTGTTGATAAGACGTTCCCCACCAAAATTTTGCGACTCTGGGACCCACGTTTAATGGACTGAACAGATCACAGTATGGTTCCAAACGTTGGTAATGTTTTCGACTGTTAAAATGGTGTAAAGAAGTACCTTTGCAGTTCTTCACCGGCATATTTGAATGACTCAGCAGCCTAAGCCATTGGTTTAGGTAGCTTTGGTTTTCTTAAGGCTATGAGCAATCAACGATGGGGGGTTCATCGTGTTGGCTTCCACATGAATATGCTCCGTTTTCAAAAACTTCTGTAACGGCATATTTCATCCTTTCCTGCGGATGTTTAACGAATTTCTGATGATTCCGACAAAACGTGCACGCTTTGGAGTGTACGAAAAAATTTTGCTCCTACCAATGGATCAAGCTGGTATACTCGTAAGCCTCATAGGCCTAACTATTTTTGTTTTTGTGATATCCATCATTTCTCTTGAATATCGATTAGCCTTTGGGTTTTCGAGCAGCTGATGATAAGAGAAGTCCCATAAAGCGGGGCCCTTAAATAGTTCGTAACTAGTAGTTGCTCATCTGTTTAATTTTCGGTATCTGGAGCAATGTTTTTAAAGGTTCAGCGCACAACCTCGCTTGGCGAGAAATGTTCAGATAAATTTATGGAGCAAAGATATCGCATGCAGTTAAAAATCTCACATTTTGTTGATCCTTAAATTGAATATTCGAGTGAATCTACTGTCTCTATCTATCAGGTGTTGTCTCTCTCCAGCTCTGAAATGTTATATTACGCTCAACAGTTGATCGCGCTCCCAGAACACGACACAGAAGCCAGAGTAGTAATTAATTACAGCCCGAACAAATATAACTATTTATTTAGTTGTGTGAAAGTTATATGCGTTAATCGCCTCATCTAATACTATAAATTAAAAAAAAAAACTTAATATCACATTTATGACATTCCAACATATTACATAGTGTATACTCGTATATGTATATATCTTCGATATGTATGAATTTTCGATAATAGATAGTTCTTCGTTGTTATTGTATGATAACGGGATTAACGAGCACTGCTTAAAGCGAAATTCTGCCAAGCCTATGCTGCGAATATTCAAATATTTAAATTTACAACTTTTATGCGACTTATGTAAATTGACTTACAACATTCTGTAAATGTGTAGAAAAAATACATATATATGCCGACAAGCTGTGGCTACTAAGTCTACTTTTGTTGCTGTGATATCTTAGAAGCCTAAATTCTGATTAAGTATTCTGTCACATCAATTACAAATGAGTGCCAGAATCTACGCCTCTTTCTTTGGATCAGTGGTAGATAGGCTTTGTCACGTGTCATTGTCTGCATAGGCCTATACAATAATGGTGAGTAGGCTTTCTCATGGGTCATTGTATAAATATTGCGTTCATAGGCCTAAGCAATCAGTAAGCTCCAGACATTTGGAGTAACGTAATACCAGAAAAAGGACAGTGATTTTGGTTAATTATCTATACCAAATATTGGAGAAGAGATTGTTAAGACAAATAATTAAGTTCCAGTGTCCTTTTAGTAAGGAGTGACGTAGAATTTTAAAGCTCAGCATGCATATTTTGAAGGCAGCAATTTTAGTGCTCGGTTTGGTAGCCGTGGCATTGCCAGCATCAGGTAAGATTTGCTAACATTCCCATCACTCAGTACAATATAATGTTGACGAGCATCATCATTCTCTGTTAACCACCCACAGGCAAGACTGTTCCAGAATCTGGTAGTGAACAAAGTTACCAATTGTTCAATAAACAACGCACACATCGAGGTAGACGCGCTCATGATGATGTTGGTAGTGGACGCTCTATTTCACCGGATTTAATCAATAGATTTAATGCATTGAAAAATCCCTCATCTGGAACTACAGTGATCATTACATCGCCAACCACTACTACCATTACGCTCTCGCCGACAACAACTTCACCCACCACAACATCACCGACTACAACGACATCTCCTACTACTAGTCCAACAACTACCACTAACACTACCAGCCGTGCTTTCGTCGGCTACGCTAATCTTGATGATGAGGACGCTTTTGAAAATGATGAGGATGATTCACCTATAGCATTACAGCAACTTAACAGATATTCCATTGATAAATATCGCGATGAGGAAGATGTCGAGGATGATGTAGCTATTGCAGACACTGCTGTTGAGTATGGCCGCGCAGCACGTGCCCGCCCTTTGAATCGGCGTCGTCGCCAGCAACGTCGTCGTCAGCAACAACGTAGGCGTCGCCGTCAAGCCATGCGCCGGCGTCAACGTCTACAACGTCTACGTCGTCAACAGCGCCGTCGCAACCAGCAGAGAAGACGTAAGGCTGGTAGCCGGCAGTCAGTACGACGCGGTAATGGCGGCAGGAACCGTCGTCGCAGACGTATTGTACGTGTAAATGTGTAGACGAAATCAACGATCAATATGTATGTATGTCTGAATGGATAATCCAAATGAAATAAAAGAGATAAATTTTCAATTGTATATTTCGATTTTTCTTTTCTCTTTCATGTTTATTATTATTTTTATTTTTGTGTGTTTTTTTTTTTTGAGAATTTTTTACTTTAATGTATTTGTGTCGCAGAGGCAGCAACTGTCGGTACAAAAGTTTCTCAAACTCCTTTGCTCTTTTGTTATACCGAAATATCTACCCGACAACATCTTCAGTGAGTGAGAATTAAGGGAGAGAAGTTGTGAGAATCGTCTCACCCCCAGTGTAATAGTGCTAATGAACATACGAGTAGATGTCAGAAGCATTCGTGCTATTGGTAAAACGCTTTCACTTGCTAAAGGCAATCTTCGTAGATTCGCTTTTATCCGATCGTTTCTTCATATTCACCTAACTGTCGATTCTCACAATTGTTCAGTCTCAGTATTTTTATTACTTAGCATAAAAATAAGTAAATGAAAATAATAGAAAAAAAATAAAGATATATAAATCCAAAACAAAAATGAAGAAAAGTAAATGAATATAATAATAAAATAAAACCAACATAATATTTATACAACGGAATATAAAAAAAAATAACAAAATAAATTCAAATATAACAAATTAAACTAAAAATAAAAATAAACAAAAAAATATTAAAACAAAAAAAAAAATTATTAAATGTATTACTAAATAAATTTCTAATGAAACTAAAATAAAATAAAAAAAGTAAAAAGAAAAGTAGTAAGCAAAAATAAATTAGTGTGCCATGAAATGAAAGAAATCAATGAAAGTAAAATAAAACTAAATATAAAACCATCATTTTAAATTAAATTATGGTTGTGTGTTTGAATAACTAAAAAAAAAATAAACAAAAATAATAATAAGAAAAATAAAAATATCATAAATAAAATTCAAGTAAAATCAAATAAAATGAAAAATAAAATAAATAATGTCCACTAAATAATTAAACCAAATTAATTACAAAAACTATTTAAAACAAAGCAAAAAAATAAATTTAATTAAAATAAAAAATAAATTAAATAATATTAAAAGTTCAACAGAATTAAATTAATTTATTTAAAATTAAACAAAATATTATAGATTGAATTAAAAATAAATAAAAGTAAATATAAATAAAGAGAATTCAAAACAAGGATACAAAATAGTTGTATTTGGCCTTGCCGAAGTCATTGATCCTTTCATAGCCATATCAAGTTTATGGTATTGCATTTTAAGATAAAACATTGAATCCTATACCTGAAAAATTAGTTGGAAGGGGCTATATGCTGAATTTTTTTGATTTCGAAGATTTTCATAGACAATTTTGACGGATATCTGACCCAACATCTCGCATTTGAACAAATCGGTTGGAACGTATATATGCTATAGTATTTCGTTCCGACACATGAGCTTTTAAATATACCAGAACATCAAATATAGAACAATAAAACAAGAAGGGAAGCAAATAAAAATTTCAAAAAGAAATCAAATGAAAATACAGTTAAATAAATGTAACAAAATATATAATATATGAAATTGAAATAAAAACTTAAATAAATATAATAATATACATATAATATACATATAAAAAATTAAATAAATTAAACAGAATAATTAATAATAAAAACATCACAAAATTAAATTAAACTAAATAAAGTAGCATAAAATAAAATAAAATAGAAATAGAAATTAATTAAAATAACGTTAAACATAAATAAATCAAATAATAAAGCAAAATAAAAATAAAACTGAAATAAGTAAACAAAATGAAATATTATAAAATAAAATAAATGAATTTTTAATAATTTAAATAAATTAACTAAGAAAAAATGGTATAACATAAAATAATTGAAATAAGACCAAACAAAATAATATAAAAAAAATCATTAAATTAACTAAAAAAAAAACAAATGGAATTATATAAAATAATGAAAAACAGAATGAAATAAAATTAAATTAAATTAAGTAAACTAAACAAAATTAAATAAAATAACTAAAAAAATTAAATAGCATAAATTAATATAAAATAAAATCAAATATAATTGAAAAATATAAAAACAAGTTAAAATCAAATAAAACAAAACAAAATAAAATAAAAGAAACAAAAAAAAAATTAAGCAAAACAAAATAGGATTAAATAAAATAATATTAGCAAATAAATCGAATGTAAAGAAAAACTGTAATAAATATATTTAAGTAAAGTTAAAGTGAAACAAAAAAAAAAAATAAAAATAAGTAACTGAATTAATGAATCCTACGTGATGTCTATCATTACTCTCACGCTTCCATACCGAGTTATTTATATTTATATTCAGCTGATAAGTGAGATACCATACCTCAAGAAATGTATACAGTGAATTCTTTTCCTAAACACAATAAGTTTTTTTTTCAAAAATCCCTTTCTTCCCCTAAAAATTTCTGATTTCGGCGAATATAGCTAGTTTGTCAAATTTTACACGCAAGTCTCTCAATTTTGTTAAAACTAGATTTTTTAATAGATTCTACGCATTATTTGGTATTTTGTTTTACTATAGTTCCTTAGTAACTATATCAACTGCCATGTAGATTTTATGTTAATTTTTAATTTCTTCTGATTATTCCACAAACAACCATTGGTTTTTTATTGGTTTTTGCACGGTTTTGCAAATTCTTTCTCATAATTTCTTTTTTTGCCAATCAGAATAGCGTAACTAATCAGCATATATTTCTATGTAGTATTCAGCGAATTTTTTTTTAACTATGGGAGACTGTCAGAAATTGATTTGATTAACGGTAAATATTTTAGAGAACCCTTATTATCCGCATAACGTCGAGCCACTGATATAAAAGCAACTGATATAACAGTCAACAGATACAGTCCACTTCAGGTAGCTCAACCGTAGTGTTCAAAGGATTTTTTATATTAAATTAATATTACATACTCGTATATAATCCTAGGTGGTGAGCCAGAATTTTAAATGAAGCCCACCTGGTCACATCTATTACCAGTGTTGCTGCTGATTGCAGCAGTGACACTGGAAACTGCGGGTAATTCATATTATTCGTATAGATATTAAAGAAGTATGTAATTTAATATAAACTCTCTCCACTTACCCCACAGCTTCCAAGGATGTCGAACGTGAATCTAATCGCGGCAGATATGGAATTTTCCGCAACCACCGGCGTTCGGTTGCTAACAACGTTGATGATTTACCATCTGGTAGAATTCTGACCCCAGACTTTCTCAACAGAATAAAGGGTCAGCCCTCGGGGAACTCGTGCCCGCCTCATACAGAAACATATACGGAGCCTACTGATACTATAACTTTAGTCCAACCTACAGCATCTTCATACTCACCGACGTCGACCGTATATGTTAACTCCTCTTCGCGAGCTTTAGCCCCAATAGCCGATGATTATGATGAAGACGATGAAAGCGATTACGAATTCGATCGTAATGCTTATAACCGAGATGATGGTGACGTCGATGATGGTGATTATGAGGATGATATTTACTTGGTGTCGGTCAAAAATGGTCAACAAGTATTGCCAATGAGACAGTTTGACAGCAATAATGATCTATCCGTATCACTCGATAATGATTTCAATGACAATAGCTTCCCTGGTGCATCGCGCCAAAGTCAATCGAATAATTTGCGACGTCGTCGTATGCGAAGACGTGCTGCCGCTAGACGGCGCAGACAACGTAGAAGGAGACAACAAATGCGCCGACGCCGTTTACAGAGACTAAGAAGAAACAGAAGAAGGCGTGTTGTGCGCCGTGGTCCTAACGTTCGCAGAAATCGTAACCGTGGCCGCAGAACTGTAATCCCAGGCGTGAATCGTATTATTAATATATGAGTTTGAGAAAATTAATATTGATTGTGACTTGAAAGAACAAACGAATGAAATAAAATTGTATTTGTATTTATAAAAAGAAAGCTGCACATGTCTACGTTTTATTTACTTATACTCTTCAATGTTTTTATTATCGTATTTATATATTATATATATATGCTTGCTTATTTACCTAAACAAATTTTAACCTTTTTGATCAAATGATAACTCATGGAGGCCGCACATCACACGCTGCGTTCAATAAAGACACTATTGCTGCTGCGGAGCAGAGTATCCAAGAAGATCTGAATATGCCACTTTATGAAAGATAATGCAGAAAGATCCTGGTTTGGGAGCTTACAAGATCTGAACACGTTGAAGAACTCCGAACGAGCAGAAAGCGCGTCGTACCTTCGGTGAATGGGTCAAAAACTAGACAGCCAGCCATCCCGGTTGAACAAAAAGTTTATTCGACGATGAAGCACGCGTTTGCTTATAAAGGTACGGTAGTAAACAAACTTATTGTATTTTGGTGTGACGATAACGCTCAAACCATTATTGGGATGCCGTTACATCCTCCAAAAGTAACTGGTTAGTGTTTTCTATGTACAAAGGAAACCATTAGTACATACAAAAATAAAATTAGGCAAGACTATAGAGCCACTATTAATGACTTTTTCGAGTAAGGACTACAGGATGCTGATATGGCCAGCCAACAAAATAATAAACAATCATTTGAAGGACCAATAATTGTGCCATTTAACACCGCCGGACTATTTTTTGTGGCGTTGTGTGAAGTTGCTGGTCTATGCAGCTAAAACCGAGACGAATGATGCTGCAAAAAGTGATCTGTCTTCAGTGAAGTTACAAAAAAAACTAAACATTTAAAAATTGTATGGCTTTTCTTGCAATAAGAAAATAGGATTTTCGTGATTATTTGGCTTTTGGTGGAAATATCTCATGGAACTTCTCCCCTTGTTTGTCACTCAAAGCATACAAATTTGCCTGTAAAGATACCCAAATGGCAGTCCGGCATATGTATTTATAATGACATAGTGTGCCCCAAAGCATTATAGATTTCTGATTTAAGGTTTTCAAGAAAAATCTGTACAACATTCACAACAAATTGCTGTACCGTTATGAAAAAATTCTCACTAGA